GATCTTCCCGTGTGTCGGGGGGAAGAACCTTTAATGGTTTCGTAGAATTTTTTATTGTGTTTTTCAAATTTTGAACATCTTTGGAGACTTTTTCGTCACGACGAAACCTTTTTTGGGAGTTCAGTAGACCACCTAATTTATTTAGAGTGTACTTAGGTATTTTTGCCTTTTAGATCTTCACTTTTAGCGGTAAGTAGACTTTATTTAGATATGAAAAATTTGAAAAGGATTTATATTCTCGCGCGTTTATTTCTGGGATATCGAATTTTCGATGAGTTTTTTCTACAGAAGCAAATATTTCTGGTTCGATAGTATTCTAACTTATACCCTGAAATTTAGCCGATATCTTTTCAACAGCATCTTTTCATGTATTACCGATCCACTTAGACTCAATCTACTAAGTTTCTCTATTAAAAAAGCTATGAAATATTTATGATTCCGAGTTTGATCAAGCGATGTGATCTGACAAGTTTCTTTTTAATCTTAAGATTTTAGAAGGATCTAATAATCACATGTGTTCGAATACCTTAAAAGATGATTGACTAATCAAGGTGAGAGAATAGTAATATTTTAACCAAAAGACATCGATATCTTCGAGTGCTTCCCTTAATCTTTTAGGAACTATTTGTAATACCACTTTTAAATTCTAAAGCAGTTATGTGTCTCTCTGAGATGAAAGATATTGTTATAGTGTCATTGGGATATATTTATTTTTTCTTCTTCTTTTCTCTTCCTCTCTTTCCTTTCTCGTTTCTCATATAGATGACATATATAGGATTTATCTTTTCGTTTTTTCATCTGCTTGTGTATTTCAGACGTTCTCTTCTGAAAGTGTTCAAGTGTTTTTCCCTTATCCACTTATCAGTTGTGTTGAAAAGATAATTTACAAATATAACAACCTTAACAAAAACCTGAGAAGAAGATACATTTATAATCAGAAACGGACTTAGATATTATATTTCTCACTGCTTTTGAGATTAGTTTTGAAATTTTAGAAGAACTGAGAATTCCTTCTTTTGAATAAGTTTTTCTTATCAGTCATCATGTTGGTAAGTGATATGTTTTCTTAAATCAGATTAAAATCTGAATTCATTTAGGATACTCCATTGACATTTTTATCAAATACAAATGCAACAACTATCAACCGACAGAGTTCTCATAAAAAGAAAGAAAGACCAGATCAAACAAGCAATAACCGTAAAGTACTCTTCGTGTCGAAATTTAAAAATGATGTACGTGTAAGTGACATACGCCAGCATTTCCCTGATTGTGCAGAAGTGATAATAAAGCGACATAGTAAAACACCACATTTGAAGTAAGTTGTATAGATAGGACATACTGCGCTACTATACAGTATCTTTTTCTTAGATATGCTTTTGTCTTTCATCGTACATCTCAAGAAGCAGAACGCAATCTTCAACGTCCTTTCGATCACGCCGTATTTGGGCCTCAAGCGCGTGTTGAGTATACAAATGACCATTCAACTTCCTCAAACAACCAACATAGATTCGACAAAAAGAAACTTGTGGTTAGCAAGATACCAGAAAATGTCAGTATAAACTATCTGCGTCGTTTATTTACTGATTGTGATGTGCTGAAATATTGTCCAGCACGCACCCATCACCTGACACATAAGACAACGCATACGGGGAGCACCATCAAACAATCATCAGGGTAAATACAAACAGTTCTATGGCTTTGAAATATACATACATAAAGAATTTGATGAAAACAGAATAGTCATGCAATCGCATTAAACTGATCTTCGATAATGGTATTTCTAAAAAATTCTAGTTTTCTACTTATTTTTCTAGGTATGCATATCTTTCTTTCGACACTGAACGAAAAGCGGCTGATGTGGTCAATAATGTCGAACGATACATGATCAATGGTCAAGTACTAGCTATTTCTTTTTATCGTAACAAAAAATAATTTTACATAAGGACAAAAGAACTATTTCTTGTGCAGCTCACTATATTTTCCTATATATTTCTAACAAACAGCTAATTAATAACGCTTATTTGCTTTTTTTATTGAAATAAAGGTAGAATCATATTAAGTAGATTCTTATGCTTACATATATATATATGATCCGTGTATACTTAGATATTCATGTAGGTTTCCATGCAGATATTTTTTTATAAAAACACGTATGAACCGCATTTAGTTTGCATGTAAATTGCAGCAACCAAACGCAATGAACGAGTCCCCGTCAATATTCTTTAACGGTAGTCTTTACCTCGTTATAGGCTAATGTAATGTTAAATTGTTGGTACATTTAAAATGATAGAGATGAGATTAGAACAAGTGAACAAGCAATTAAGAAGCAAGTATACATACCGTGAAGGCATATATGACTACAATTGTTTTCGAATAAAAGAGAAAGTAGATATAATTCAAGATTTACATCTATCTTATCTATAAATACACCTATCAGTAGAAGCCTTTCTATATGAATAATATCTTCATTGCTGATATATATAGATATATATTCTTGTATGAAAAACGGTATGATAAAATAAGCTGTATATTTTTAAAAACGTTTCTATTGTTGGAAAATTTTTCTTTTGAAAACGATTTTTATCTAGATTTTTTCTACAAAATTAGTCTTTACAATTTAAAATGCTACATTGTTTTTCTTTTTCGTTGTAGAATAAAAGTATCACAAAGAACTTTTAACTATTTCATAAATGAAAACATTTATTGAATTAAATATTTCAAAAATGCCTCAATAAAATTGTTTATAATTTATGAAAAAGATATTCTTACACTGGATGAAAACGCATCCAGGAATTATATGTTTTTCTCAATAAATTGAAAACATATGTTAGTTGGAGCAAACGTATTGTAATTAAAGAGACAATTGATATTTATCATTTTTTTTAAAAACAATTGATCAGCATCATCAATAGATGCTATAAACGTAGTGTTTTATGAAACAATGGAAGAGGTCACTTTCATAATCTTAGTAACATGAAAATTATCCTTAAATCGGAAAAATGATGTAAAATATATCGATTTTAAATGATTAGACAGATTGTCTTCGAAATCATGATCTACGTTAAGTTATCATTATATTTAATTATAATCTATTCATTTTCATTTCGGTAACTAGTCCAACTTAATGCCAAGTAAAACTCAGAAAGATCGACCCATTTATCTGCTCACATCGCTGATATCTGTAATTTTGCCTTTTATTTTTTACATGGCGCTTTTTATGATCGCAAAGATTCAATTTTGAAATGTCGTAGATTTGAGTATCTTATCAGATACAACTCGTGTAATTATGCTTAAAATCTAAAAATAAGTTGAGAACATGTTTTACTTGCATATGGTACTATTTTCACGTATAAGAAAAAAATCAATTAGTTGAGACTATCAAAAAAAACTCGAGAGTTTCCGTTATAAACACATAAAAAAAATTATTTTTAACCCTATCAAACTTTATTTAACCACGTATATAAAAAACGAAAAAAGAAATTGTTCGTATAATATTATCCACGCTTTATTCATTCATATATTACATATCGTATATAGTATATTCATTTATTTCCACGTGGCTGTTCGCTGTACGATACACTAGTAGAAGCGAGTGAATATACGATAAACGTTGGTTATATATTCATGCTTCAATGATTTTCTTTTTTATCGTTATAAAATATCGGTGTATACAGTGAGTGACTCTCATTATATATCGTATATGGTTTCAATGAGTTACAATATAAAACAACGAAACGCTGCATCTTCATTAAAACATGGGATATCCATATTAGTCTTCAAGTGAGTTTATGAGTGAAGACATGAATCGATGTCAGAAGAATAGCAGAAAAAGAGTAAAACAAACTATACTTTTTTTATAAGGGATGCGCCAATCTCTAAAGCATGATATGAAAAATATCAATTTTCCCTACTAAGAGAACAGCTGACTTTCAATTGTTTGAATTAGTCATGGCCAGTTTTATTGCTCTATTTGGAACTGTAATCGAAATTTCTGAACTAAAAAAGAAATACTGGGGTATTTACACGTAAGTGAAGTAAGTAGCCGATTCGATCATTTCCACCCGCGATTCGCTCAGCAACGGATTCAGATGGTTTCAAATAGAACTTGACGAGGTTTATCCAATGGTGCAATCAGATTTTTAATAGCTCAAATTGAACTCAAAAGAAGCTCAAAATACTGTGATTTTTAGGTAAAATTTTCGCAGCCGATACCAGTATTTGCAGAAGCGATTCGGCTAGTAACCTTTTTCAGTGGTTCCAATGCATATTCCAAGTACAACTCAACGAGCTCTATCGAATGGTGTGCTCAGAGTTTTCGTGACTCAAAATAAAATTTTTGGTCTACAGATCGCGCCACCAATATCGAAAAATTTTTACTTTCAGCTACAAAAAAGCTAAGCACATCATTCGATAGAGCTGATTGAGTTGTGCTTGAAATATGCATTAGAATCACTCGAACAGATTCGTAGGCGAATCGCCGGTAGAAATATTCGAATCGGCTGCTTACTTCACTTACGTAGAATTTACTTGAAAGTCGAATTTTTCGGTTTGTTTTGATCAATTCTAAGCGATTTTCAAACGTATACCTTCATATAGATGATATTTGACAATAAATCTAGAAAGAGCATTTAAAAATGAATACATGCGGCTTAAGAACTTATTGTACATCCGGTAATTCGTAAGACTAAGTATATCGTGATTTTAAGTCAGTAATTCAATGAATTGATTTACACGGTATAAAATATCACAATCGTAGTTTTACACAATTGTAGGTATTGGATGGGTTTTAATGCTAAGTGTATTCAGTTTTGAATGCTCTTTCAGAAGCTGTGCTCAAAGATTCTAGAATAAAAACTAAGGACGATAGAACTGATTGGAACTTCTCTAACAAAGTTGAAAAATTCAATTTTCAAATCAATTCTTCAGTATTTAGTTTTGATTTCAAAAATTTCTATCACAGCTTCAGATAAAACATAAAAAACTCGTTATAAATGATGTAAACAATTGAGACTTAGTTGTTCTCTTAGTAGGATAAATTGACACTTTTTATAATATGCTCTAGGAATTGGTACCTCTCTACTTTTTTCTCTGCAAAGGTGATTTACTTAGACATAGACTTCGATTATACAATATTTATGATCTACAAAAAAATGCTATGTGTCGCAATATTAACGGCATTGCATTATTTCTCGTGATAATTCAAAAACTATAAGTAATTTATTGATTTGATTTTCCACGATGATGTTCGTTTTTATGTTTTTATAATTGAGGCTTGCAATCGTTGCTCAAACATACTTGTTCGATTTTTCGTATCCTAAGCTACGTTATAGGAAGCAGGACTATATAAGTTGTGACGTCAGCTTCGGGAAAAAAATTGTATCGTTTGGGCGCAGAAGTGTGCACGACCAATTCGCTTCGTACTAATCTCGCTTAGGCATGTACCGACTTCAAACTGTTTTGGGTTTGGTATCCTTAGGTTTGGGTTTAGATCGAGGTCAGTCATTAAGACGCACGGGATCCGTTTTACTTAAGCATAACCCTTTTCGATAAACTCTTCTCGCTTTATGATGTATATTTATTTTCGTACGAAGATAAACAAAAATATATTTCTGCAATACAAATTATCATTACACGTAGGTGAAGTTGGCAGCCAACTCGACCGATTCCACCGGCGATTCGATCATCAACATGTTGTAAATCCTCCATGCAAATTTCAAGTGCAATTCGTTCAACTCAATCCACTAGTCTGCTCAGATTCACAATAGCTTGAAGTATCACTTTTCGTCAATACATGTCTCAACTGTGCATCTGGAGGCATTTATTTCAAGTTATTAAAATTAGAAGTATATCATTGGACACAACTCGCCTAGTTCTACTGCAACCGACAATCGAACATATTCTTACGCGAACTTCAAGTAGAATCACTTCATTCGGCTTCTAACTTCATCAGCGTCCCGTTTATTTCAGTATGTTTAATGTCTTATTCTACTCTGCATTACTATCGTCAACACAGGATACACGAGTAAGTATCTCATTGCAGTATATAAATACATTTCTTTAATTTACATTACTATTGCTCATACATAATAGGCCACTACGTATTTTTATAAAACTATCTTTTTTGTTTTATCAATTCCATATTATAATATTTTAAGCGAGAAATAGGTTTATACACTAACAATATACAGGTGGGTCAAACTCAACCATGAGTGTCCTGTTATTAAACTTGAGTGGAGGCACGTCGACGGGTCAAACTCAACCATGGGTGTCCTGTTACTAAAC